TTCATGGCACTGCAGCACAACGCTCGCTAAACCTTTCTAAAACCTAGGAGGTTACGCCCAGCGGGTATAACGTAGCAACCCTTTCTTGTCTTCTGTGCGTTGCTGAACAATAAAAAATTGGCAGCGCGCGCGTTAACTAAAAGCCAAATTCTCCTGCTTCTCATTACCCCTTAGCAGCCATTGGCATGTACATTGAGCACAATCTTTTATTTTTCAACAATGCACAGAAGAAATCTCTCACCGGCACCACCTTGGAGGTCAAATTGTTATACTTGTTACACACTACTACAAAGGCTACGAGAGACGAATGGGTGCTGCTATAAAAAGCTTCGCCCCTAAAAGGTTGCTATTTTATACTCGCTGCACGCAACCTCCTTGGTTTTAGAAATGTTTAGCGAGCGTTGGGTCGCAGTGCCATGAATACAGTGAACTAGTATATACTATGAACTCGAGGTGGTTAAAGGGGGGAAGTAGACCAGAAGCGCCTGCCGTAAGAAAGTGTGCGTGTGCCATCTCTCGTTTAGTCCTTGAAATGTCCGCTGGATGACGGTGCTTCAATATGCGGAATATATGATGAAAACTTGCGAGATGGTGGTACTTGGACTGTTCACTAGATGGACGAACGGGCACACAGTCAGATGCTTGGACGGACGCACAGATGGCCGGATGGACAGATGGACGCATGGACGGACGCAGGTATGGACGCACGGCTTGGACGTGTGGATGCACGAACAGACGCACGCACAGAAGGGTGGATGGACGCATGGACGGTCACATAGACGGACGCAAAGACGCACGGAAGCAAGAAGGAAAGAACGGTCGGTTGGTTTGCCCCACTCCACCCTCCATCATTTACCCCGTGAATACGCATGCTTCCATTTTTTTTCCACAAAAGGATGATCCGACGGGCACGCAACGCTTTGCCAGGTTGCATGTCTGTTGCAGATGCAGCGTTCTTGGTCTGGCAAAGCAGCTCAAGCATTGCCTCAGCGCATTGGGCTTAGCAGGTGCGGCTAAGCAAGCAGCATATCTCTAATAACGACAACACGTAGCTGATGCTTCATCCTAGTTCACTACTAATATGATAGGAATCGATGGATGATTTCATCATTCATTTGTGGCTCTCAGTTCTTCCTCTGTGCTGTCAGCGCAGCGCGTGAGTACTTAAAAGAGAAAGGTCGAGGCGAAGAAGGTGGTTGCTTCTGCATGGGTGCTGCCATGTTGATTTGTGAACACACATCGGCAGTGACTGATACAAATGATTTGATGCGTACGAAATAAATGTGAAGAGCAAGCGTGTCATGTATCCTTGTGGATTAACACACACTAAAAACAACGCCAAGTTTAGTCAACCCCGTCAATTTTAAGGCAGTTCATGTATCTGGGACTATGATTTGCTGCGTAAGTTTCACCTCGTATGTTTGGTATACTCGGTGACAACGTTTATTGGCATTGGAGTGAATCCTATAGAGCCAAATTACGTGCACGTCACCACCAGTGAATGTAGATTCAGAACAGCGCCCGAATTTTCGCTGTGCAATTTAGAAGTTCCCCCTTTATTTTCTACGTGGAGCTATTTTAGACAGGACGCAGCTCCCACTTTTAAGACATTCATACTCAATTTATTTGTTGTGACTTCACACTTTTGAACGCTCGAGAAAGGCCCGCGTTTTTACATGAACTTCAAATGCTAAGCATCGTCTGCGTCTACATTAAACGCTGATGGTGCAACCCCGCCACTTTACGAAAGGGGCGCCAAATTAGACTACTTCGCCTAGTGCTATATCTGCAGAATCTCCGCCTCCGTAGCTTTCCCTTCAGTGCCAAGAAAAGTTGTCGCCGATTACAGTGCTGAACCACAGTAGTGAAACAGTGTATAATCATTCAGGTGATGTCATGACAGCAGTTGTTGATCGAGGAAAGACAGAGAGAGGAGTCTTCAAGCGTCTGTTACTGATTTACCCGTTAAACCACGCAGAGACCGAATGGTGGATGTGGCGTTGCAGTAGGGTACGAGTCCGCAGTGAACGCTTCATTTATTTATGATACCTTACAGGGCCCGATAGGGCATTAAGTAAGGGGAGCAAGTACAAAACAAAAAATATCGGAGATAAATGCATTAATAAATACAGGGAAACAAAATTGAAAGAAAAAAAAGGGTACAGTGCATACATATGTACAGTGCAAAGCATTTTCAAACAGAGGAACAGCATTTCTTATTCCATGAAACAATTTTTCGCCAATCACACACACTCGCAAAGGAAAGAATGGCGGAAGAATTCGCGGAATAAAAAGTAATGGTGACGACATGATACTATTTCAAGAAATGCTTACGCAATTGGTCAAGAAATGCTTTATGGTTACTGATAGATGCAATATTGTCGGGAAGATCATTCCATAGAACAATGGCTCGGGGAAGTGCTGATGAATTGAAAGTGTTAGTTCGTCCACTGATGCGTTTAATGCTATATTGATTATGCAAGCGGCGTGATATGCGTGAAGGCGCTTCCAGTGGTAAGGGAGATGGCCTGATGCTATAGCGATATTTATGGAATAAAGATAAAAGAGAAATGGAACGACGTACAATTAATGGCGCAAGCAGTATGTCATGTTTGATCTGCGTTATGCTGGAATGTGGGCTGTAGTTGGAAGTAATGAAACGAGCGGCTCTGTTTTGTACGGACTCAAGCTTGTTAGTCAGGTAGATTTGATGAGGAGACCACACTGGTGAAGCATATTCTAATTGCGGACGAACGATGGTTTCATAGGTGAGTTGTCTTAGACTGCTTGGTGAGTTCCACAAGTTCCGGCGCAGGTATCCAAGTGACCTGGATGCCTTGGCAGTAATGGTGTTAATATGCATGTCCCATGAAAGATTATGCTTGAGATGGACGCCTAAATATTTATACGATGATGCCTGGGATACTAATGTGCTATCTTTGAGGTATGAAAAATCGGAATTGATGCGCTTGCGGCTGAAAGTGATAACCTTGCATTTAGTAGAGTTAAGACTCATCTGCCATTCGTCACACCACTTTGCAATTAATATGAGATCATTTTGAAGTACGAGGTGATCTTCGGTGAATTTAATTGAGCGGTAAATGATGCAGTCGTCAGCGAAAAGACGCAGGTTAGAAGATATGCCTGTGGTTAAATCGTTAATGTATATTAGGAACAGTAAAGGACCAAGGACACTGCCCTGGCGCCCATCTGATGTTACGTCACAGAGAGATGAGGTAAAACTGTTAGCTGAAGTAAACTGCTGACGGAAAGAAAGAAAGTTACGAAGTACGAAGCCATGATAATGTTAAAGAATCCAGACAGAGAGCTGATAATTTTGAGAATAAACGCGAGTGTGCCACACAGTCAAATGCTTTGGCAAAATCTAAAAAAATACAATCCGTTTGAAGATTAGCGTCCATGTTAGAGTGCAAGTCAGTTGTGAATTCTAGCACCTGCGTGTCACATGACAGTCCTTTTCTGAAACCGTGTTGCTGAGAAAAAAAGAAGGAATTATGTTCAAGATGAGCGTAAATATGGGAGGCGATAATGTGTTCAAGTAACTTACAGCAAATGCATGTTAATGATATGGGTCGGTAGTTATGCGGGGAATTTCCATTACCGCTTTTGAAAATTGGGATGACCTTGGCGATCTTCCAGTCCGTGGGTAATAAGCCTGATGATAATGATTGCTGAAAAATATAGCAAAGACTTTTACTTGATATTAGGACTGTGTTTTTTAATATTTTAGAGTTGATGTTGTCAACTCCAGCACTGGTTGAGATCTGGAGATTTCCTATCAGATTAGCGACACCTTCAGCGGAGACATCAATCGCACTCATATACTGATAATCATGGTCAGGAACAATGGGTATGTTGGAATGATCTTCCCTCGTAAATACAGAAGCAAAATATCTGTTAAAGACATGCGGGCATTCGCTATCATCAAGTGGCTGCTGTTTATCGTCATACAGTGAAATGTGATTACTAATGCTATTAGGAGACACAACACGCCAAAACGTTTTAGGATTAGATTTCAAGAGAGAGGGAAGATCCTGGGAAAAATATTTCTTTTTTGAAGTTCGAACGGCGCAACAGTAGCTTTTTAAGCATTCGCGATATTTTTTCCAAGCCGATGATGTAGGTGCAAGCTTAGCTTTTCTGTAAAGACGCTTCTTTTTATTACGATGACTATTAAGATGTTTGTTAAACCAGGTATTAGTTTTATCTTTGGAAATAGACACCACGGGAACGTATCGGTGCACTAAATTTGTTAGCACTGGAGTTCTATGCATTTCCCCGTTTCCCTCTTTTCTCTGCTAGGCTGCATTCGTCGGCTTGTTTGATTACCTCTCGTAGTGTCCTTCCTCAGCGTCCAATGTGAAAACGCATGAACACGTGCGTCTGCTAGCAAAGAAGAGGCTTTTTTTGGCCACTGACAGAATCTCTTGTACATGGCGTCGACTAATGATGCAGTTGACGTTATGCCAGCTCTTCTGAATAGAAGAAAGGTAAGTAGAGCAGTTTGCGAGCATCTGTCTGTGATTTAGGGGCCCTTTAGGGACTCCTACTGGGTACTTCCCTGGCTCTGCAAACGACAATAAATGCCTTAGTGGGCCCTTGTGAAATGCATTTGCCGCAAGCACCTAAGGAGAGCTCATTTTCTGTTCTTAAGAAAATCTGCAACGGCAAAAGTCGTGTGGGCAAACGTTCGTCTCCTCTCGCCATGGTTCAAGTGTCTGCAGTGACTCGAAGATTGAAAATAAAGCAGAAGATCATGTCAACCATGCGAAATCATGGTATCAATTTTCGTACATACTACGAAGCTCATCTATTTGATGCTACAAAATTTCAGCTAATAATTACTTTTTACCCACCAAACATTGGTATTTACTTCTGTTAGTGTTCGATATATACTGATAGTTTTGCTGTATATGAGCATGGACACAGTTTTTACACACAATAATCAAGAACCAAGACGACTGACTTTTGCATGTTTCTTTAAAGAACGAGAGTAACAATAAGCAAGCGTGTAAGTTACGACAGTGTCTTGTCAGTTAGCCACATGGACGCAGCACTTCAAAGGTCGACGACACCAGGCGTGAGGAATTACTGTTTGGCAAGTACGGTTACAGGTTCCTCCAGCCAAGGAACAGGCATTCATTTTTCCTGCGTTATAAATCAAAGAAGAATTGTATTCTTGAAAAACACAAAATGAATCATAACAGGTGAACAGTTCGCTTTATTATAGGACATGACTGAGAAAAATCCCGTTTTACTTGTTTTGCTGAGCCGTAGTTGTTCGAAAATTTGATAAAATATAACTAACAACATAAATATGCAGCAGCTATCATTCATAACCAGCAAAATGCATACTCAAAGTTTTCTTTTCAGACGATGCTAATGCGCTATTGCGAGATAATGGTTCACAAATAAACAAAGGTTAGAGAGTGGGTGAAGTAACTGTGAGCAAGATTCAGTAGAAGAATAGATAACTGGTATAGGATGCTTTTATTGACAATAAACCAGAAAGAGTAGTGCAAAACAATTTTATCAATTTAAAAAATAAAGTTTTCCCATTTTACTGTTGAAAGACTATAAGGGAGACAGCAGCGTAACAAACTGCAACCAGAAACAGCGGTGTATGAGCACTAGCACCATCACTGAAAAAAAACTTTACAGATTTTATTTATTTATATCGTTCAAAATACTGTTGGCCGTTATGGCCTTAACAGGACGGGTACAGTAAATGTTAACATAGAACAAAAACAAGTACAACGTATTGTAATGAACACAGAACTTAAAAAATACGCAAAGGAAAAAGAATTTTCAAACAGTGTTAATAAAAACGTACGTACATATATTGTGACGGTGGTATAGTATGCAATATGTAGTAACTACACGATGTATTTTCACCCAACATGGGAATATATGTACAATACTATAGCAACACTCAATGTTTACGACATATTTTTAATGTAATCTTCAAAGCTTTCTATGCTCTTCGAATTCAGAACCAGTACTGAGAACTGATTCCACTCTTTTATCGTTTGTGGAAAAAAGCAATACGCGTACACATCAAGATTGCATTTTGGAGCCGAAAACACAACATGACTGCATGATCTGACATTTCTGGAGTGCCTGGGAACGAGATAAGATTTAGTTTCAATATTGAGGTGTCTTTAGATAGCACAAAAAGCAATTTAGGTCGACCAACTTTTCGGCGTTTAACCAGTGTAGGCAATTCAAGGAAATGAAGCACTTCATAAACAGAGTCATTTCATAAATAACGCGATAAAATTAGCCTTGTGGCTTTCTATCTATTTTTCCAATTCGATTTATTAACCAAGACTGGAAGGGATTTCACACCACACTGGCGTATTCTAACGTTGGCCTTACCTAGGTCATATATGGAAGCAGCTTAACGGATGCTGTTGCTAGGTGTAGTTTGCGACAAAGTTACCAAAACTTTTTTTTCTGCAGCTGCACAAATGCTTCTATCGTGGGGTTTTCGACTTAAGTCATTTGAAATGATTAAACCTGGTTATTTTATCGATTCAGCTTCGCTTAGAGTTGTGGAAGTCAACTCATATTCACATTGATGTACACGTTTTTTTTTTCTGTTCGTAACTATGAGCATAACTGATTTGGGTTCATTGATTTTCATTTGCCATTGAGTGGCCCATCTTTCTACAACTCTAAGAGTTTGCTTAAATGACGCTAGATTATTCTGGTTATTGATTTCATGATATACCAGGCAATTATCTGCAAACAACCTGACGTTTATGTCGTCACTTATGTCATTAGCAATATCATTTATGTAAATAAAAATGCAGGGGTCCCAAAACGAATCCTCGTGGTACACCTGAAGTTATGTTTAGCAGATCCGATTTCTTGCCATTTATTTCGACGTATTGTGTCCGAACTGTGAGGTATGAGCGGATCGACGATACAACTTCATAATTTATATTCATTTCCATTCGCTCTTTTATTAGCTTGGTGTGCACAACCCAGTCAAAAGCCATCGATAAATCTAAACATAGCGTCCATCTGTTTTCAGTTATTCACTGCAGTCGAAAAGTCAATAATTGTTTCTACCAATTGTGTAACAGTGAATGGGTTTCGTCGAAAGCCGTGCTGATTAGAATAAAACGCCCTCTTGTTTTCAAGATAAACGTACATTTCTTTTGATATTATGTGCTCCAGAAGCTTGCAGCACAAGCACATCAATGAAATGGGCCGGTAGTTTCCTATCTCTTGCTTTCCACCTGATTTGTGTATTGTAACTACTTTTGAAATCAGCCAATCATCTCGGATTCGTTTCTGTACTAGCGATGCCTTAAATGTGATCTCAAGATAGCGTCCTATCTCTTATGAATACCTGCGTAAAATGCATTTGGTTTACCACCAGGACGTATAGATTTCTTATCTTTAATAATAAGCAAAATCGCTACAATACCTTAATATGTCACCTCTATCTCAGGTATTGTTGAAATGTGCGGGGATTGTAGCGCAAAGGGTGAAAAATCATTCGCAGAACTATCAGTAAATACAGATTGAAAAAAGTCATGAAAACAAGTTGCAATAGGAGAGAATTCCATCAAAAGTTCATCATTAATGACAATGTCTCTAGGACTCTTGTTATCTAGTCACAAATGGCGCCTAAAGTGTTGTGGATTGTCCTTCATAAGACAAGTCAATATGAGATCAGAGAAGGTTTTCTTTGCAGCAGTCAGCTTCGTGCGCAAACCGGCTGCTTAACAATGTAACCTGTAGGTGACCTAAATGACACAACAACGCAATCCATTAGAGGCTACTGATTTTAAAGATGTCCGAAAAAGCCGGCCGACGCTGAAGGTGGCTCTCAAACGTATGCGAAATTACGAGGACGTCGTCTAGGTAACACATGCACGTTGACCACTTGGACCCTTGTAGAAGAGTGTCTATCATACACTGCAACGTAGCTGGGGCGTTGCAGATGCAGAATGTCATAACCTTAAATTGGTACAATCCATCCGCAGTGACGAATAAAGTGTTTTCTTGGTCTTTCCCGTTCAAAGAAATCTGCCAATAGCCGGAGGGAAGGTCCATTGATGAGCCGTATTACGGACAATGTAGGCAGCCAAGAGCCTCCTAAATTTGAGGCAAAGGGTAAATGCCCCTTTTCATAATGATGTTTGCATAACCTTCATCTACGCAGAATGGCCACGTGTTATCTTTTCAACAAGGACGGTGGGCGACGCCCAAGAGCTTTATGGGGCTCAATAATGCCTTTTAGTTGCATTTTGTTCACTTCTTCAATAACATTGTGCTCTGATGCAGGTGCCCAATACGGTGGGCAATGAATGAAAACAAAACCACCTGGGGTAATGTGGCGCTTCACAAGAGATGTCTGGCCGAGTGGTGAATTATCAACGATATCGTGGTAGTAATCCAAAAGGCGACTTACGGCAGCGTAATCTTCAGGCTTCAGTTCTAGGGTGATCATGAGGCATTGCGTCATCTCGGGGCATGTGAAATCCAGTGGGTGATAACTAAGACTTAAGCACACATCTGCTGGGAAATCAGTGAAGGGGTTGTCTGATGAGGATTGCAAGCGTGGCAACAGAGATGCTTAAAAAAATCACTTTTTTCGTGAAGCAAAAATTTATAACAGGGAGATATATCCGGCTAATGGCTATGGTTATGACGTGTTGTGGCTTGATGACATGCCCCAGGACATGAGGAATAGGCGTTACGATGTGGGCACCATCAAGCATGGGTGAAGGTGTTGTCTGTTTGGCGAGTAGAGGGCTTTAGGCAGCATGCAGATAGTCTGTGGTACAGATACTCTTTTAGTGTTCGGAGCGAGTACCAGGGTGAAAAGAAAAAAATCTAAGCAAAGGATACAAGTTGAATAGTAGATAAGGGCAAAACGCGTCAATTTTCAATAACCTCAGCCCTTCATCTTCCCCTAAACTGCTATATCGTTTTAATGTTTAGCCGTTTTAGGACCATATGCTTATACCTCTACATACTCGAATTCCCTACAAACAAGATCTGCACATTTTTACATGCTTCCTGATTAGATATTCAGCACTAAATTATTGTTGTTGCCAGATAATTTGATTTAGTCATTGGCGATAATATATTTCACCTACAGCGTTTTGGGTGGAGACCAAAGTGCGAAATATTTCATTGCTCAAACAGACTACGATAAAAACACGTGCGTTTTTTACAGCCTAACGTTTCGCCCTTTTTGTGTGAAAGCAGAACGAAATTCGCTGTAATAGAAGGATATATATCAGCAGTGGCTAATTAGGTATCCTGCTACGTTTGTTACTTGTGCTACTTACTATTATGCTACCTTTGTTACCTGTGTTATTGTGTGCTACGACAGAATACCATACTATTTTTGTTTTCTTTCTCAAAACAAGATGCATAATGTCTTGCAGCAGTAATGAATGAATTATACACGTTTGTGGTCTGTCTATTACAATTTGCGCTTCATGGCAATGCTTCTGCTGTACTAATACAAAGGTTACCATCCAAAAGAATTTTCATCGAAAACACAATAGAAACATTTTAGGCGAAGCCGATAGACGCACATCACTCACACTATATGCAAAATCGTTTCTGTTGTCGCTCATAACAAGCAAGGTCATCACCGAGACTTCCTGGTTAGCTCAATCAGCAGTGACTGCCCCTAAAAAGGCGTTGATCTTCTCATTCAAACCACCGCCCAGTACGATTTCTTCGAAAACTAAAAAGCTTTTCTTTTGTTGAAGTTTGAATGAATTTTCTTGTGACTTCGTGCAGCAAACGGGTCAATATTTTTTTCTCTTTCTTGAAAAAGTGGCTGCGACAGTGCATCCTGCACATCGCCTAACGCCCTTTATCTGCATATGCAGGTTAGTTTTGTCAAACTTTGCGCATCATTGCACTGGCTCGCTGTCGTTGGCACCAGCCTTTTCTCCTGTACTTCTGATTGCATAGTTGCTTGGTTGCCGTTCTTCTTGCAAAAAGCCGTCAAATGTATGACTGCATCTAATCGCTTGCCAAGCGGTTAGATTTCTCAGAAAAATTTCTCAGAAAATTTTGGTTACAGCTTCGGTGTGCTCAGATTTGGGTGCACCTTAAAGAACCCCAGGTGGCGAAAATTTCCTCCACTACGGCGTCTCTCATAATCA